ACAGTTTCAGTTATCCTGATCCGTTTGGTATCTCGAAGTTTATTTTATTGAAAGGCTGTCTAATTTGGCTGCCCATGATTTTGTACAGTGCACTCCGACAGTCGCCCGGTTCCCGAATTTGATGCTTGATTCAGAGCAGTTGAACCAATGTGACTTCCAAACAAGTCTTTACTATTGGTGGACTCTTATACCTTTGTACGAAGATTCAATGGTTATTTTCTGTTCAAATAAAAGAGTAGGCGGTTTGTATGATCTCATAAAAGCTAGATTTAACGCACTGGAACTAATGCTAGGTTATGTCGCCATTCCTCGATAAAGTGACTATTTGCGGTGGCCCATCGAAGTTATTATCAATTTGCGCCCTGGGTAGGCAATTGAGGTGATTGCTTTATAATTTTTTACCCCCTTGCAAACCTATCTTAAAGTCAATTTTTTATTAGAATGGAAGGGCCTCTGAACGAACACGTGGTATCAGAGTCAGCTATAAAAGTGCTTTCGTCGATGAGAGTGACTCTGATGACGAAGGGGAAATAACAAATCGCAAACGACCGCCTAGCGGTAACTACAATTCATCGCTTCCCACTTCAAGGTTTGTGACGTTTTTTCCCGACTCTTTTCCATGCCTTTTTGCGTGTTTCTGACGATCTGTTGTTTGGATCGCCTGTAGAAATCAGGCCCTGCTTCAGAGACCGAAGGGCTCCCTTATACGCCTTGCTGGCAAGACCTCAGACAGGTTAGCTGTATAGTCCCGCAGTCGCCGCCGCCGTTCCCCCTACACATTTCATCCCTGCTTTATTTAAATCACCATCGCATCAACGTTCGCATAATCTCACCCTATCAGCATGCTTGACCTCATCATCCCGCAGCCCATTTTACTCCTAGTGTGCCTTACGTATATCTGAAGTTTTCTTATTTTGTATTTTAGGGCACACATGTTGGATGAAGGCAAAAACACAGATACCTCTGATGCTGATTCGATGTCTTACGCACCACATGAAAATTTCTCTGATGATGACGGACTGGAGTCCGGGGCTAGCGATTCGAGACAAAAACCAGCTGAATATCTCGACGCCGACGAGGTGGACGTCATTGAAGAGGTCCTCACCCACGCCATTCGTCGAATCGGTGCTACCGGAAATCCCACCACTTTGTACAACTGTCGCATGGAGCACGATCCAAATGAGGGGTTCGACCCGTCAAAAGAGAAGGGAGAGTTGCAGTTCCTAATAAAATGGCGTTCTTGGAGTCATATCCATTCTACATGGGAGACCGAAGCTTCGCTTTTGAGCCCTGAACGTGGTTGTCCCGTTGATGGAATGAAGAAGCTCTACGCATACCGTGCTGCCATGACAGAACGTCAAGACCGTGAGAAACGCGCAGAACAGGATGAGTTAGATGCCCTGGTGTACGAGGACGAGCGAAACGACCTGTTGTTGGCAGAAAAGATGAATGTCGATCGTATCGTGGCTCACAGTCGAGACAAGGAGCAGGGTTCGTTTGATTATCTTGTCAAGTGGCGACGACTAGATTATCGTTACTGTACTTGGGAGTCGGGAAGAGTGATAAACTTCCTCTTTAAGGATGCTGTTGAGGAGTACGATAAGAGGCTGAAGTCGACTGCCCTCCCAAACCCTAAGCACGAAGCTTTGCGCATACGGCCGAAGTTCGTTCGTCTTACAGAACAGCCAGCATATATAGGTGCCGGCGGCGAGGGCCTCGAACTTCGGGATTATCAACTTAAGGGCCTGAATTGGATTGCTCATGCATGGACCCGAGGAAACAGTGTAATTCTCGCCGATGAAATGGGGCTTGGAAAAACGGTGCAAGCTGTGAGTTTCCTCTCATATCTTTTCCATGAGCATCGAATATGTGGCGCCTTTTTGCTGGTTGTCCCACTGAGCACTGTCTGTAGTTGGCAAAGAGAGTTGGAACTTTGGGCTCCCCAGCTAAATGCTATAACGTACACTGGTGACCACATATCACGCCAACTCATTCGTGAGCATGAATGGTCAAATAATTCCTCCGTTGGCGGACGTCGGCAGCAACTTTTGAAATTTAATGTCTGCGTAACTACCTACGAACTATTGCTCAAGGACAGATCTTGGCTTGGTCAGGTATCCTGGGCCGCGCTTGTTGTAGACGAGGCCCATCGTTTAAAGAATGACGCAAGTCAGCTCTACAAGTCTTTAATTTCTTTTGATACTAATACACGCCTCCTTATAACCGGGACACCTCTGCAAAACTCCCTCAAAGAACTGTGGTCTCTTCTGCATTTCCTTATGCCTAATCAATTTGACGACTGGGAAAACTTTGAAGCCCATTACAGCCTACAAAACCAGGACGGAAGTAACACTTATGACGCCATTCGAAGTTTGCACCGGTTGCTTGAACCATTCTTGTTGCGCCGCGTAAAAAAGGATGTGGAACAATCACTGCCAGCCAAAACGGAACAGGTTCTTCGTATAGAAATGTCTAAGAGGCAGTCAACTATCTACCGCCTCATATTAGCGCGCAACTATGATGGCCTCCTAAAAGTCACACATGGTCACAAAACTTCCTTCATAAATATCGTAATGGAATTGAAGAAGTGCTGCAACCATGCCAACCTTATCGCCCCTCCCCCGGATTCCGAGCTTTTACGAATGAATCGGGAGGAGCTTTTGAAATCCGTGCTTAGAGGAAGTGGAAAACTGATGCTGCTTGATAAACTCCTTTTGCGACTCAAACCAAAAGGCCACCGAGTTTTGATTTTCAGCCAAATGGTGCGTATGTTGGATATCATAGCAAATTACCTCCAATTGCGCGGATGGAGTTTCCAGCGTTTGGACGGCTCAATTCGCGGCGAACTTCGAAAACAGTCCCTTGACCATTTCAACGCCGAGGGCTCCACTGACTTCTGTTTCCTCTTATCAACACGGGCCGGCGGTTTGGGCATAAATCTAGCCACCGCAGATACGGTTGTAATTTTTGATTCTGACTGGAATCCTCAAAATGATATACAAGCCCAGGCTAGGGCACATCGAATTGGCCAGAAAAAACAAGTCTCAGTTTACCGTCTTGTTGTAAAGGACTCAGTAGAAGAGAAAATCATTGAAAGTGCAACCCGCAAGATGCTGCTTGATCACCTGGTTATACAAAGAATGGAAACAGGCGGCGGTAGAGGTCCTGGTCGCAGATTCGACGCGAAGGGACAACTTTTAACCGAAATCCTCC